GTCACTCACCCAACGTTCTTTGCGATGAGACACGCGCGTAATTAAATGTGAACTGATAAAAATCTCGAAAGTTCTGCGGATTCCTGAGTTCATCATTTAGCAACGGTATTTTGGCCTTAAGTTTATCCAATGTATCTACTCTGAAAACAGACTTACGCAGTCGTCATGAAGTACAGGAAACCGAACTTTTTTTTCCAAATACTTACCTTGAAAATTCGCGAAATACTTCGAAAAAAAAATGTAAATGCTGCCCGCATACTCAATTAGTTCCTCTGAGAAAGAAGTCCAAACAACAGCACCCTACCAACAAAAATAATTGGCCAACGCACGGGCTGCCCGTGCGAAGATGCGTTTCTTGCATAGTTCTCAGCAGTTTTTGTTGCTACCGGCACCAATTTTTCCGACAAATGCTTCTGGCTAAACAAATTAAGACTGACCGCCAGAACTGTCAGGAAACACCCTCTTAAAATTTCAGCCCCCAAGCATTTCTGGTTCGCGAGTTAGCAGCTTACCCGCAAAAAACTCTGGTGGGCTCTTACGTGGGTATCACACGGGTAAGACCGCCCATTATGGGGATGGGGGCCTGTACGTGCATGCAGATTAAGTTCCCAAACTTCCAGCCTTGTAGCTTTTGTAGGTCTTGAGAGGTCTTTTGTAGGTCGGTACAGAGGTCCAGCGCAGACACAGACACACACACGCACATGTACACACACACACACACACACATACACACACATACACTCATAGACAACCCCTCGTCAATATGCATTTTCCGCATTGCATAGCTGCAAAAAACGCATAAAAAAAGACCAACAAAAACTCTGTCACAACCCCTTTTCCGAAGGGTGGATGAGAAGCATGCAGAGTGCGGAATGAGTCGCAGGAGATCAAGTACTAAAATTAACTAATCAACGAAACAATCAATCCGATTTTTCACTGATAAATTCAAGTATTGTAGAAATTTTAAAGATACAGACAGTGAATATTGCTGGCAAGGAGACTGGGAGAGAACGGGGACCTAAGAAATCTTCTATTTGTTAACATATGGAGTGCTCAACGATCTGAGCCTAACACCAAACCCTCCTTGTTACTGCAACAGACTCGCCTAGAAGAATAAAAAGACTGAAAATGGCTACCGATAAACTGGAATTATTACCTCATTTCAGTGAGACCCGTGCTGAATTCTTGCCAGGTAAATTCACACTGCGTTTTTGCGCGAAGTTTCCAAGCCAATATTAAAACATTGCGATCTTCGGCATCCAGTCCGAGTTCTGTCAAAAAACGCAGCATTCCATGCGGCCCAATACGTGACGGATCGGCATCTTGTCTGTCTGCAAAATGCTCAATTCTCTTGAAAAATAACCAAAAAACATGCCTATCAATTTTTTAGAGGCAAATTTTAAAGCACAGCTGGCACTATTTTGTGTAACGAACACAGGCACGGCAAAGGAGGCCAAAAATAAGGTACGAAAGAGAAAGGCATGGTAAACAAGGCATGGTAAACATGTGATGTCAAAAACGATCAGTGGAAAAATCACCCCAGTTCAATGAAAGGCCCCCTATAAAAGGCTAAGTAGAAACTATCGTGAATGCAGTCTGTTCGTAATCTAGCTGGATAAAATGCTCTTAGCCAGGGGTGAATCCAGAGCGGTTTCCACACTGATGATTCCCATCCCAGTCCACA